GGCCCCCCTCTGGTCTCAATGTCGACCCAACACACCAGCCACGCAGTCTGTTGTAGGAGTCATTATAAAATCTCCCCCCTCCAACCTTGGAGAGCACAGTGCACAAACTGGAGGTATAAGAGCGAAGGTGAGAGCTTACGTGGCCTCGCCAGTTCTCAGCATCAGACCGTGCAGGGTGAGAATCAGCACAACAGAGGTCACCTTCTTGGAGGCCAGCCTGAGGGAGATTTTGAGGTTGTTCTGTGTGGGCAGGCTGGAGGCGAATTCGGATACATTCAGTTGGCGCGTGGCGAGAACACGCCGCCGCGTGGTGGCAGTAATTGGTGTCTGTTGAAAGGCCTCCGCTGACATGCCAACCTTTAGGTGCAAAGGGAAAAGAAAGTAAGAATTCGGGCAGCAAAAACGAAACACAGTCATGGATTCATCAGGGAAGCCGACCGTCAAGTGACATTCAACTGGTTTCCTATCCCGTTGATGTACGTTCGCTGACCGCTAACGAAACTCACTTGTCTCACTCTGCTCTTTATCAAAAGGTCGCGAGCTCTAGGTTCAGGTGGAGCACCACTTGTGTCTGGGTGTGACTGGCTGATGACGGCTAATAAGCCAGAAATGGCCATTCCAGTCTCTTGCTTGTCTTTGTTGGCAATACTATCCGCCCAAGATTCTTATCTGTCAACGTCCTTTATTCATTATACAACACTGGGTAATTGTATGGGCCCGGGAGTTGGGGCCTTACAGCCCCACCAACAGCCCTATCAACAAGTCAATACCGTCAGTACATCAGGTCCGGGGTTGACCTCGGCGGACACCTTCACATCCATCCATGACAACCCATCCGTCACTTCTGATGACGCCGAAGGGCACTCGATAAATGGCCTTCAGTTGTTTTCAAAGGGCCAAAACGAATGAACTGGCGAACCCTCCCATATACATAAAGAATGTATCTGAGCTCGTCGACAGAGAGAGCTGAGAAAACTACTTTGTCCACCCAACTTGTACACCCAAAGGATAGGGTTGACTATTCACTCAGAAAAGAAATCGTCTAAAAAATACCCTGATGCGAGAAATCTCTAGCCAACCGTATACATGAACACCAGTTAGCAGTGACAAGACGAGACCACCTATTCCAGGTTGCCATGCGCAATTTAAACAAACATGTGCATGGGAAGAAACCCAAATCGTCGGTGCCTGCCTTATTAGAAAGAGCCGTGAATTCTTGGAGACGATGCACTTACACGAGGCATGAATTAATAGGCATATAGATTACGATGCCATTTACAAGTTTATCATGGACTGATGGAAGCAAAAACAGACCCTATCGATCGGATGATTAAATGTAAGTGACGCTCATTGGATCAAACTTTGGCAAACCATAGAATATTGCGTTAGACATTGGTTTAAGTTAACTGCTTTTTCGTACATCCTTCATTTATCCGACGACGAACTGGGGGGAAGCAGACTCGAAAGTTTACACAATAAACGTTATTCTGTTCCCAAAAAACTTCACCTGCTAGTAATTTTAACTTGAGATCCACCCTTTTGACGGACAGTTAGAATATCACCTACGCACGGAAGCAGATAGATGGCAATAGCCAGAAAGGTAAGAAAAACCTGTATGGCCACCTACACAAAACTTGGGAATATGGACCGCCCAACCCACGCAAAATAGGTCGGCTTGAAATAAATTCCCAGCAGGGTAACGATTTCCGTGTCTTGCTCCTAACATAAAACTGTTATGACCCGCGCTTGGTACTTGTAATTAACGCGAACACTGTGGGCTTGCTCGACTGTTGTTCCCAAAGCAAGCATGGGCGAAAGAAAGAGAAGGCAAGCGAACAGTAAGGATAACTGTATTTACAAATAGCATGTCATTCTCACAAAACAGCTGCGCGTATTTATAGCATCTGCTTGATGAGAAAGTGTCAGAAACATGGACCAATCAGATCTGACGAGCGATCGATCGATCGATAGCCGCGACCAGGTGCACTTTCTCATGGCGGCTCAGGCAGGCGTTTTCTTATGCCATGACTCATTGTGGGAATAGAGGCATCCCAACAAAAAATTAACTATTATAAGGCAAATTTAGCAGATTTGAATAATTCGATGGACCCAAATGTAAAAAATTAGTGGCCTCGGCGGGATTCGAACCCACAGCAGCAGCTCGTAGCTCAATTGGTAGAGCGTTGGCTGTACTAAAGCCTCCCCCTGCCGATGTGGGTTCGGATCCCACCGAGGCCGTGAATTTTTCACAGTTGGATCAATTGAATGAGTCAAATCTGAGGATTGTCACCTATACCCTAGACCTACCATAAACGTGTATCCTACATGAAAGGCCTCCTTGGGAGTAATGAAAGGGCCCCTTGGGCCTTAAATATACAATTTATGTATTCACGCTGCACACGAACCCAAATCTGAACGCTTAACATGATCTTGGCTATAACCCCCCCAACCGTAAATCTAACCGTAAACTTACCTCTAAATCCCACACTAATTCCAAAATATAATTTTCCCGGAAATTGTTAACTGTAGTGTGGACGGCTCCTATCCCCGAGTCCTGTTTAGTCCTTCTTACCGTCAGCAGTTCTGAAGCAGCGTTTCCCAGACAGGCGGCGGACTGGCCTGACATCTGTGCACAATCATTGTGGAACGGACCGCCAGCCAGAGCCATGGTTAAGGCCCAACTGTTCCCACGCTGCAGCTAATTCTTCTGTAGTTAATTAACTCGCTGCCGATCACGAGAGAGGGAGCGAATGAAAGCTTATTTTTTCAACCTTGGGGACGGCCGCTACTCCGCCCAGTCTCTCCCTCCTTCCCTCCGCTTCCCCTGAATTCTCCTCCTCCTATTCTTTCTAACAAAGTAGGTCGTGGCAAACCAAGGACATACAAAAAGCACTGCCTGCCTGACGACAATGATGAAGAGAAGCCAGTGACTCAGCTTCAGTGCCTGTAGCGTTTGCAGACGGGCATTCACTAGCTCTCCCAGGCGTACTAACACGGCCAGCCAAGCGCTGTCAGATTGAGCAGAAATTTCAACTTATAGAAGGCGTTAGGCAAGTGGCTGTTGAATTTGGGTGCGACCTGGGCCGACAACAATGAGGCTGGTCTATCGGCTACTATCACTGTGCAATGTTGAATCTGACCACTTTGAGGAGAGCTCGGCATGGATTCACTGCTCGGCCCTGGACGGGTTTGTGCGCTTTCGTAACCAGTCTCTCCAACCCTCCCTCCCTCCGCTTCCCCCGCATTCTCCTCCTCCTATTTTTGTTAACAAAGTAGGTCGTGGGAAGAAGACGACTCGACCGCTGGGACAATACATTTATTTGCCTGACGTTTCGACATCCGTCGCGGATTCATCATCAGAAAACGGTAGCAGAAACGGGTTTATGTTAAAGCAGGTCTTCGTAAACCAAAAACATGCAAAAATCACTGTCTGGCTCATAGCAATGGTGAAGAGAAGCCAGTGACTCAACTTCAGCGCCTGTAGCGTTTTCAGGCGGGCATTCACCAACTCTCCCAGACGCACTCACCACCCAGCCAAGCAATGTCAGGTTGAGCAGAAATTTCCACTTATAGAAGACGCTACTCAAGAGTCGGTTAAATCTGTGTGACCTAGGCCGACAAAAATCAAACTGGTCTATCGGCTATCGCTGTGCAATGTTGAATTTGACCACTTTGAGAACAGCTCGGTGTGGATTCCTTATAAACAACACAACAATCAGGCCGGCCTATTGGCTACTATAGCTGTGCGGTGTTTAACTTGACCACTTTTAGGACAGGTCGGTATGGATTCCTTATAAACAAGATCACAGTAACAAAAAACCCCACGTTTGTGCAATACGACACCGGTAGTAATAGAAGTTACATTGGTGGGGCATATCGGGGACACGGAGAAAACTAAATAATAAACGCGCATAGCCCAGCATTCGCATCCGCATAGAAGAACGGACCACAAACATGCACTGTACACGCGCGCCTTTGTGGAGATAGAAATACCGCGTGGGTCCCACAGGAATGTTCGAGGTCGGGAGAAAACTCGTCGTGCTGCATCAATTGGGGAGACATGTCCATTCGGCAGCAAACTCGCTCCGAGGTATTTGAAACAGTCGACTTCTTCAAGTTGACAGCCACTAATTTCGAGAGGTGCCCTCTCTTAGACACACGTGCACAGCTTGAAGACACTTTGGTCTCCCCAGCGTTTATGACAA